ATTGGATTCTAAATTGTGTTGTATTTCAGTGTCAAAATCTCACGCAGGAGACCCGAGTTCAATTCTCGGCCGTGGAAGTGGTATTTCTGGACAAGGGCGTTTCACACATTTATGCGCGACCGTTTCTTTACTGATTTTTGCACCACTCTGCGAATCATTTGCTGCCTCGAAAAAATTACTCAACTTTCTCTCTCCACTCACGCCCGCCGCGATGTGCGCTGGTAGCTGAAAATGGTAATTTGCGTCACTATTTAGACATTGAACCACCTTCAATTCCGCGGTAGTATAGAGGTTAGTATTCCTGCCTGTGTTGAGGGTCGGTGCACCTTCCTTATCTCCCATTGAGGGAACGCCACAACTAGAGGACTTATAGGAAGAACTTATCTATCAATATAATCAATAGTAGGCTCACTTGGCGCTAGGCTAAGATATGCACTGCGACACGGAGCAATAGCCAAGGAGACAACTGGCACAGAAACAAACACAATACTTCGTTTTAGGATGCAATCATCCCTCTACACGCCCCCCTCGCACAACACCTGTGCGACACTTCTTTCTTCTGGGCAATCGGGACAACTTTGGCGGACTAGTTTCATCAGAGAACTCCCACTGTTCCTCTCCCAGGGTCAGCCATTCTGGCTCAGTACCATCATCCCAAGTAACCAGGCAACGACCACGAGGATCCTCAGGAGACATCACAGTCTCATCACGACGAATCGTTCCAGTATAAAGGTCGCTGTCGCCGTTAATATCAGCAATTCTCACCGATATACGAGCCCCCACACGACTTGGGCCAATAAAATCTTCAGCTGACCTACCAGTCTGCTCGAAGGGGCACAAGTTGTGGATAGACTCCATTTGCTTACGACCACCTGGGAGAATTACCATCACACGATTACCAGACATTGTAGCATCAACAAAACCTAAGCAACTACCAAGATCCGCCTTACGCATACGTTGGCGGATCACTGCAACAGTTCGCCCACATACGGAGACCAGCGACGCTGTTTACCA